TAGAACTGTAAATTTGAAACATTCCTATGGCTATGGAAACAAAATTGAGAATAAGACAGGAAGGCTGGCAAAAAACTCTAGCTACTTAGGCTGATTTAAAAGATAGGAAATAAGATTAGAAATATGAGATGACATGATAACCAACAAAATACACTGCTTTGAAAAAGAAGGTAAGGAAAATAAGGATGGGGGAAAGGATATTTAATTTGTGTTCATCAAGTTGTGCCAAGAAATCTGGAGGACAACCACCTGGCCAACTGACCGGAAGAAATCTATATTTGTTCCCATTCCAAAGAATGGTGCAGAGTGTGGAAATTATTGGACAACAAGATCCTGCTGAAGATTATCCAAAAACAACTGGAATAGCACATCAACAGAGAACTGCCAGGAGTGCAGGCTAGGTTTAGAAGAGGTCATGGTACTAGGGATTATTGTAGCTAATGTTAGATGGATCTTTGCTGAAAGCAGAGAGTACCAGAGGAATGTCTATCTGTGTTTCGTTGACTATGCAAAGGCATTTGACCATGTGGACCACAACAAACTGGCTAACTCTGAGAAGGATGGGATTCCTAGAACACTTGATTGTGCTTATGCGAAACCTACACTTGGAAAAGGAGGCAGTCGTCAAAAGAGTGCAACCCTGCATGATTCAAAATTTGGAAGGGTATACGCCAGGGATGTGTCCTGTCTTCATACCTTTTTAATTTATATGCAGAACAAATTATCCAGGAGGCTGGGCTCTATGAGGAGAAATACGGCATCAGGATTGGAGGAAGACTCATCAACAGTCTGTGTTAAGCAGATGACACAATCCTGCTTGCTGAAACTGAGGTGGACCTGAAGTGTTTGTTGCAGAAGGTCAAGGACTGCGACCTTAAATACGGATTTAGACGCAACATCAAGAAAACAAAGATTGTCAACATTGGGCCAATAGGCAGCATCGTGTTTGATAGTGAAGAGACTGAGATTGTAAACAGCTTTAGTTTGCTCAGCTGCCACAATCAATACTCTTGGCACTAGCTGCTAGGAAATGAAAAGTTGTACTATATTGGGACAGTCTGCTATCAATAGACCTCTCCAAAGTACTGAAGAGCACTGATGTCAGTCTGGAGACTAAGGTGCGCCTGATACAGGCCATGGACATTGCATTCACTTGTTATGCATCAGAGAGCTGGACAATGACTAGGGATGATAGAAGGAGAATTGATGCCATTGAGCTGTGGTGCTGGAGAAGAGTGTTGAATATACCATAGACTGCTAAGAAAATGAACAGGTTTGTCCTGTGGAGCGTTAAACCAGGTTGCTCCTTGGAGACAAGGATTCTGGAGCTTTGACATACTTTGGACATGTTGCAAGTAGGATATTTGGGAGGGTGGAGGGTGAAGGATCAGCACAGGAAAGGAAGACCCTCAATGAGATGGATTGATTCAGTGACGGGGGTAGCAGGGCTAGGTGTGTCAGAGACAATAAGATTGGCACAGGATAGAGCAGGGTTTAAGACTGTTGTACATAGGGCCCCTTGAGTCGTCGGAGACTCAACGACACATAACAACAGTCACAATTAGGAGAGTAGTGGTTAATATTAAGATTACTGATTCTAAAAGTAGAAGAGACAGAATTCATATTCTAGAGGAGTAAAGAGAAATGAGCTGTGGAATCATGAGGTCAGTTGTGTTGTCTTCTATTCTTAAATCTATATGCTGACCAAATTTTCAAGACACCTGACTTTATGAAGAGAAATGTGGCATCAGGATTGGAGGAAGACTCATCAACAACCTGCTTTATGCAGATGAAACAACCTTGCTGCTGAAAGCAAGGAACACTTGAAGCACCTACTGCAGAAGATCAAGTACTACAGCCTTCAATAAGGATTACACATTAACATCAAGAAAATAAAAGTTCTCACCACTGGGCCAGTAGACAACATCATAATAGATACTGGAGTTGTCAATGATTTCATCTCGTTTGGATTCACAATCAACACCTTTGGTACCAGCTAAAGAAATCAAAAGAAAAGTCGTATTAGGAAAATATACTAACAGAAATCTCTCTGCAATATTGGAGAGCAATATTGTCAGCTTAAAGACTATGGTGTGCCTGATCCAAGCCCTGGTCTTCTCAATTGCTTGTTTTGCATATGAAAGTTGGATAGTGGCTAAGGATGACAAAAGAAGAATCAATACCTTTTAGTTGTGGTGTTGGAGAAGAGTTCTTAATATATATACCATGAACTGCCAGAAGAATAAACTGGTCTGTATTGGAGAAAGTGAAATCAGAGCTCTCCTTGGAAGCAGAGAAGATGAAACTTTCTCTCATATACTTTGGGCATAATGTTGGGAGTGGCCAGGTCTTGGAGAAGAACATTATACCAGGGAAGGTGGAGGGTCAGCATAAGAGAGGAAGACCCTTGACAAGATGGATGTGCATAATCACTGTAGCAGTGGGCTCAAGTGTGTTGGGGATGGTGAGGATGGCATATGATAGTGCAGGTGTCAGATTCATTGTTCTTAGTGTCTGTATGAGTTGTGCTTTACTTGACTTCCATCACATAACAACAACAAACTCTTTAATGAAGATGAACTATGAAGAACAATGCAGAAAGTTAAGATTGTATCTTGAGGTAGCAGTACTGATTTTCTTGTCTGATTGTTGAGTCTCATGCACCTTTAAATTATTATTTTGTTTTTAAACTCCAAAACAAACAAACAAACAAACAAACCCCAAACACCTTTTTATAATACCTAGAGCCTTCTTGGCCTACTTGGTCAAAAGTTGAGCTGCTAACTTAATGGTAACGTCTCTGGCTTTTGAATATACCAGGAGCTTCTTGGTGGAGAGATGGGTAATCTCCCTCCAAGTGATTTATAGTCATTAAAACCTGCTGGGGGGTCAGCTATGAGTCTGATTCCATACCAATGAGTTTGCAATTTTTTAAATCTAATATCCTTCTCATTGATGCATGCATGTAGTCAATGTATAGTGTAGGATCATTTTTTGTTTAAGATACGGAAGATTCTTTGCTTTTTTAATGCATAGATAGGAAAGGATCAGAAAAGGATGAGTGAATGGCTGAAAAGTCAGAAAGGCTTGTCTTTAGAGTTGGTGGGGTTGATAGAAAGGAGAGAGACAGGTGTAGACCTAGGGAAGTCTTTTAATCTTGGTCTTTCAACTTTGGACCTAGGTTGTTGTTGAGTTTGTTAGTTTGGGCAAGTTACCTAACTTCTGCTTATAACTTCAGTAAATGTTTATTCACAGAAATAACTGAAGTAATGTGTGCCAAGTGTCTGCAATGGTACCTACCACACTTAGTAAATACTCAGAAAGTGTTAGTGCTCTTGGTGGTGATGATTATAGCAAAGGATGAGAGATTGACAGTTCATAAAAGGACAGGTGCTGTTGGTACTATTTAGGAAAATTGACTTTAAAGGATTGAAGGATTGTCATATTCATTATAAATATAAACAGTAGAATAGGAAATAAGTTTTATGATAAAATTTAGGAAGTATTAAATGTCGATAGTTGTAGACAGGCTTCAGGCCTTTTGTATAGGGTCATTGATGAGTCGTGCTCGACTCGAAAGCAATCAACAACAACATTAATTTTTTTAATGATAGGGCCAGATTGAAATAATTGAATGAAATGAGTACTACTTTTGTGATAAATTTAGTGTCTGAAATGACTTATTATCACTGGGATCAGCGCAGAGAATTCTTATAGCAGACTGTTAATAAATAGGTATTGGAATCGAGTTGGAAATGCCATGAAATGTGTTTTCATATGTATTTTTAATCAGGAGAAATTTATACATTTTGTTTTTCTTATTTGAAGATATAAGTTCATTGCCGAACGTTTATACAATACATTCTTACAAAACTATATAAATATCATCTGTAATCCTGCCTACTCAAAATATATTTATGTCATCTGTTCTCTGTTCTCCACTTCCCTGGTTAAACTTTCCACTTCAGTCAGACTAGCTGATTGCTATTCCCAGTATGTGTATCCTATATGAATACTAAGTTACGTGTTTTAATCTTTTTTATTTACACTTAAAACTCTATCCTAAACTTGAAGAACAGAATTATTATCATTTTCTGCATAGTATGTACATAATTGAATATAAACCAAATTGAGACTAGATACTTATATTTACTACAGGATCCAAAAAGTATATAGTTATGTGATGCTTATGTTGTACTAAAATGATAGAACTTCTTCTACAAAGTGAAAATTTGAAAACTGTTATGTGATAGGAAGGTACCTGCAAATTTAAGTTGTGTTTTACTAAATAATTTGAAATATTTAAATGGCTTTGAAGTTTTTTCCTAAATGAATTTTTAGAAAAATTTCTTTATGGTTGTTTTTCTTTAATCTTACGGTAATATTATTTTTGGCTTACCTGAAAGTATCCTAAGATTTTAAAAAATATGTAAATAGATTTCTACCTATTAAAAAGATATTAAATTAAATTAATATATTAATGCAAATATATAATAAGATATATATGTATATATATAAAGAGCAAAAATATAAGTAAAATAAAAATAATTTCTTACTTTTTTTGGGCAGTAATTCTTTAAATGAAAATACAGCTATACAACCACTTAAACTTATTAATACTAACAATGAGATCAATGTATGAGAGATCATGAAGTGGATACAGAACTAGATAATTCTTTGTTCTATAATGAGACAAATATTAAGTGATTAGCAATTTTTGTTATGTTTAATTACTACTACATTCACTTGAATGTGACTGTTTTTGAATAAGAGTTTAAGAAACTTAAAAAAAAAAAAGAAAGAAAATCATCTAGTCCTGTGGAAAAGAATGAGAACTCTGAACACTGGCAGCTTCTTCTGAGTAACAGTCATGTGGAATTGTGTAAACTTAGCAAGGCAATCCATCAGTCAACACTCTGCTATTTTAATTTGCTCAGCTCTGTTATTTTAGAATGAATGTAGGATAGCTGCTTATAATTGTGCTTTCTTTTATTTTTCAGTTTGCAGACAGTAGGTTGCATGCCTCCCCCTGTGTCTTCTGCAGTGATTTTAACCAAGGCAGTTGGTGGAAATGAGGTGAGTCATGGGGTTAATTTCATTCAAACATGGATGGATGCTGTGCTTCAATACCTATTTTAAACATAGAGGAGTGATGTGGCAGAAAACACATAACCACAACAGTTTGTGAAAAGAGCAGGTGTGCTCACATATAAAAATGATGATAAACTGGATGTTATTGAATGGAATTTAGGATTTAAAAAAAAACCCACAAGAGATGAATGAGGTAGCTATTCTCTTTGGTCAAAAAGCCCTACAACTGCATACTGATAAGGGCTTCTTTACGATAGTTTGTTTCTCCTTTCTGTCTGTATTTTCTGGTTCAAGAACTAATACCACTGAATGAGGGAAGACATAGGGGCTCTCAGTTAAATGAAATCATGGCATTAGGCCATTCTTGGCATTTTCTTTTAAGTTTTGTCCACTCTATCATTCTAATAGTTATGTCTTGAATACCTGCTGTATTTTTTAAAAAAAAATTATTGAAGTGTAATTGACATGTAGTTATGTACTGGCTGTGCACTGGGTGCTACTGTAACAGATTCTGAAAAGTGGTTAACTTTAAAAAACAGAAATCTATTATCTTGTAGTTCTGGAGGCTGAAAGTCCGAATCAGGGTTTCAGATGTGCGATTCCTTCCTTGTTGGCAGCCTCAGTGCTTCATGGTCTCCTTTGATCCTCACATGGCATTTTGTCTTCCCCTGTGTGTAGGAGCCTCTGTGTCTAATTTGCCCTTTTGTTATAATTTAGAGGTGATTAGATTTAGAACCTATGCTACTACTCTATTTTAATCTAATTAACATAACAAAAAGACCCTATTTCCAAGCAGGAGTACATTCACAGATACATGTTAGAACACACATTTTAGGGGGGCAGAAGTCATAACATCCAGCATCATAATCTTCACAGTCAAGGTAGTGAGTTTATCTATTTAACATATCCATCATCTCCCAATATTTTCTGATACTTCCTCCCTCCTGGCATTCCCAATACTCATCCCTTGCAGGTTACTGTTGATCTACTTTCTGTCACTATAGATTAGTTTGAATTTTCCAAAGTCTTATAAATGGAATCATACTGTACATACTTGATTTATTCCTGGCCTTTAAAAATGAACATAATTATTTTGAGACTCATTCATATTGTATATTAGTAGTTCATTCCTTTTTATTGCTGAATGACATTTATTGTAATGAATGCACTTTAGTTTGTTATCCATTCACCTACTGATAAACATTTGGACAGTTTCCTGTTTGGTGTTATAGAGAATAGAAAGTGCTATGAACGTTTGTATACACATATTTGATAGATATATGCTTTTATTTTTTCTTGGGACTCCCTAAGAGTGAGAAAACTGGAGAAGACCCTTATATTGGTAGATATATATCACTTTTACATGGCTTCTGAAATACACACTTGCTGCATTGTAACCAACTCTCAGCTGATCCTCCAGTGGGCTTTCAGGGGCAGTGTAGCACACAGGAAGAGATTTACCATCATTTATATTTAACTTCTTAAGAAATTATCCAACTGGTCGTTCCAATTCTTCTAGATTCTCATCAACACTTAATATTTTTTTAGTACTTTTAATTTCTGTTATGTGTGTGGTAGTATGTAATTGTGATTTTAATTTGCCTTTCCTTGTAACTAATGGTATCATATATTTTCATGTGCTTATGTGCTGTCCATTTTTTTTTTTTTTGGTGATACATCTGTTCAAAAAGAAATCTTTCTTTATTGAGTGGTTTGTTTTCTTATTGTGAACTTCAGTGATTTTATATATTCTGGATAAAAGTTCTTCAGATATATGCTTTAAATATTTTTCCCTAGCTTGTGATTCGGGAGCTCTAGTGGCCTAGTGGTAAGAGGCTGTGCTGCAATGCCAAAGGCATGCAGTGAAAATTCACCAACTGCTTCACTGAAAAAAGATTAGCAATCTCCTCCTGTGTGATTTACTGCCTCTGGAAACCTGCTAGAGGGTCAGCTATTTGTGGGTTCTGACTTGATGGCCCAGATTATATTCTGTTAGTGTCATTTGAAGAGTGGGATGGTAGTGGAGGCAAGTAAAAGGTGGTTGGATTCTAGATGTATGTGGTAGGTACATGGTATACTGATGAATTTGATACAGGGTATGAGAGAAATAGGGAGGCTTGGAGAATAGAGAGCTCCTTAGTGGTATAAGCTAGTAAGTGCTTGGCTACTGGCCAAAAAGGACGTAATTTGAGTTTGTGTAAAGGACTGGCAGTCTACTTATGAAAGACCACAGCTTTGAAAACCCTATAGTTTTCTACTCTATACATAAGGAGTTACTATGAGTCAGGACTGAGTATTTCAAAATTTCAGTGATTCTCCTACTTTTCAGGGAGTTGTGCTGTTAACCCAAACATTGCACCTTTCAAATAAACTAGCGGCTCCTTAGGAGAGAGACAGGCCTTCTGTGCTGTTTACAGCCTTGAAAAATCCAATGGATGGTCAACCATATGTCAGATCCAACTTGATGGCAATGAGTTTGAGTTTTGTTAAGTATCCCACTTAGCTATTGTGGCTATAACAGTAATAAGTAGGTGGCTTTAGAGAACAGATACTTTCTTACAGTTTGTTGTAATGAGCCATTGATCAAATTGCCTACAATTCCTAGGGACCCTATGAACAGCAGATCTGAACTTAGCCCTATACTGTGCTATCCTCACCATCTCCAGCACACATGTGAGCCCACTGTTGCAGTCACTATGTCAATCCATCTTGTTATGGGCCTTCTTCTCTTAAGCTGACCCACAACCTTTCCAAGCATGAAGTCATACTCCAAGAACTGACCCCCTTGGGAGGTTAGAACTCTAAATACAGGACTTCAGCTTTTCTCTATTTATTCAAGGGAAAGATCCTTATGTCAGGTTCTATAATTTCCTTAGTTCCTTCTCTACCTTTTTGTGTCTTATCTGTTCTTTGTATAATTCAAATGATTATACTTTTGTGATGACTGATATGGCCATGTTAACATAATGAAAGTATTTTCAAGTAAGATTGCATCCACAGAGATCATGGGTTAAAATTTCAACACATATTTTTGGAGCTCACAGTTCAATCCATAACAGCAACTAAGCACATAGATTGATTTCTTGTTGTCCACTGTGGATCAGTGAGGAGCTTTGTAGTCATTAAAGAAGCCTGACTGATGGAGACATATACTTCTCTCATATACACTCACTATCTCGACTTCATTGACTTAGAGTTATACCATCTGAATGGTAGACAGAGCATTTTCAGTTGCTAAGGCAGGTAAAGAGAGATTGGCAAATGGCCTTTCCACTGCTCAGACTGAGAGTGATACATGGTACTTCTGCTCATATTATATTGACTTCATCCTGTGGTGTCATTTGAATTCAGGGATCCCTAAGGAGAAGATAACTGGGTCTTGTGAACATTTGTAAAGCTAAAGATTTTTTGGGTTTTTTTTTAGGATGCTTATTAAATTTCTCAATGGAAATACCAATTAAAAAATTGAAGATATGAAAGCCTAGAATTTAAAGTGTACTATAGACTGGAGATATTAATTAGACAGTCACTGATGAATAAATGATATTTAAAGAAAAGATGCCACATTCCTCTTCATAGAGTCCAGCTTCTCGAATGATTTGCTCATCATACGATTGAATAGGAATGGAGAGAGAATACAACCCTGACACACACTTTATTCTTAATTTAGAACCCCTTGTGTTCCCTTGCTCTGTTCGCACAACAGCCTCCTGGTCTAGGTGTAGGTTTCTTATGAGGGTAAGTAAGTGCTCTGGGATTTCCGTTCTCCTCAATGTTTGTCATAATTTACTATGATCCACACAGTCAAATGCCTTTGCATAGTCATTAAAGGATAAACAGACATTCATCTGATATTCTTTACTTTTAGTCAGGATCCATCCAACAGCAGCAATGATTTCCCTAGTGCCTTAGCCTCTTCTCAAACCTACTCAACTTTTGGAACTTCATTATCTCTGCACTGTCCTAGCCGTTTTTGAATGATCTTCAGCTGTATTTTGCTTGCTTGTGATATTAATGATATTGCTTGATAGTTTCCACATTCTGTTGGATCACCTTTCCTGGGAATGGAAACATTCGAAGTATGGATCTCTCATTGGATCAATATCCTGAGCACCATAGAGCCATTCCAGTATGGCTTACATAAACAGCATATTAGCTGGAATATTCTACTGGGTTTTTAGAGGGAAAGAGGGACAGTTTCCCTTCACAGGGTAAAGAGATTCAGTAATCTCACTGCAGATTTTAACCCCTCCAACAAATTGGCTGTTCTCTTAAACATCAGCCCCTACCCCTACCCTCAGAACTCTTCCTTGCTTCTCTAGGTTCACTAGTATTCAGTGGCAATGTCTCACAGAACCAATAAATGGTTGCTAGGAGGGGCTGTTCCTTGGTGAGGGGCATCATGCTTGGAAAGGTGAAGAGCGAAGGAGAGGAAGAACCTCAATCAGGTGGATTGATATGATGACTGCCACAATAGTCTCTAAAGTGTCAGCAGGTGTGAGGATGGCACAGGATAAGAGAGAGTTCAGATCTGTCATGCACAGGGTCACTATGGGCAATACTTGATTCAATGACACCTAACAACAACAAAGAAAGAGCCTTATGGAATTGTTATTGTTGTTAAGTGCCACTGAGTTGTAGATGACTCATAGCGACCTTATGAATGAAAGACCTGAACATTTGTATAACTTTCATTGTTTCTCCATGTTCATGAAATTTCCTTAGGCAACCTATTTTGTAAGTGGATGTCACTCTTACTTCCAAGCTTGTTTTAATAGAGAAGCTCCACCAAACACTGTCCACCATGGATAACCATTATCTCATTTGACACATCAGTCACAGTGTTTAGCATCACAGCAACCACAAGTTACCTCTGTACAGACCAGTGCTATCCAAAAACAATTAAAACCAGGCATGAGGACCACAGATTAAAATCACCCACCTTTGGCTTGGTAGCATAACTTTCTATTCATTAGGTAAACAGA